TCTCGGTCTAGACGTGCTAGGGAAAGTGCCTGTACGAGCTGCATCCTGGATATATAGCACAGAGTTCATCCAGATCCCCCAAGTGAAATCTGTCTGCGTACAATGCATATGGGAGTCGCATTGAACAGTGGATAATCGGAGATCAGTGGTTGGGTTCATGATCATGAGAGGTCTTGGAAGTTATACGCACTCGGTAGTAGTGTACCCTGCGTTCTTCGCAACGTTCCTCGAGAAGTAAAACCAGATCATTTACGAGACGCCAATTTTGTATTCATCTTCTGCGGCTGCCAAGAGACCGTAGAGTTTCTCGACAGGCATAAGGGACTTTCGATAATTTAAAGGTATAACCTGCACGATCCAGCGTATTGAGTTCTTGATGTTGTGCTTTGTCCTTGAATCAGAATTTAGACTTTGTGCGTCACTGTGTCCTGCAAAGCTGTCGAGTCAGAAGATTCAGTACTAGACTTCACCTTCGAAAGCTTGGGAGATGGAAGGAAGTCATCTGTTTAGTTCGCCACGCGATAATGCAGCTGTCGATGGTTCAAATGGTAGGGTTAGGTTTTGCTACCCCATTTCCTCGCCGACCATCTTCCCAACATGCGGACCACAGTATGTTTAACGCATGTCTCTCGAAGCAACTGAAATGGCTGCGAGAATTCCACGGCATTCCAAAGAATGTGCTTTGACGAGGTTGTGTTGCGTATTCGGAATACGATATGCTAATTACACAAGAGCCTCGTAGCGTCTGGACGAATTTCAGCGGGAAGGCTATCTCACGGAATGCAAGAGAGGGACGGTTAGGGACAGCGAATTTCAAGACCATACACTTGAAGGATGACGATGATACATGGACAACGAGCCAGAATAACACTATGAACTAAAATTACAGAAACTCGTCCAAGAAATCAGCGGGTAGACAGGAATCATCGCTCTTCCTCTTATAAACCTTCAGCTCTCCGTCCGTACAAACCAAACTCAGCCTTCCATCCTCTCCATTCTCTACCGCCAACTTCTTGATATCCTCCAACACTCTCCTCAATTTTATCAACGCCGATTTGACGTTCTCCTCCGCCCGTTGTAACTCCACCGACTCGGAAAAGGATTTTTGCTTTACTTCTTGGAACCTCCCCCGATCGTGGATACCGAGGTATAGTTGTGGTGTTCCAGAGATCAACATCTGAACCGCGACTTCTTCCCAGTCGTATGCACTCTGGTCGAACCTTTTCTTGGATATCGTGGCAAGTTCGACGATGGAGTTTGTAGGGGACATGTTACCAGCCTTCCAGATTTTCAAAGAGGTCTCTCCGTCCGAAACGGTCTGAATTTCCTCATTCTGTGGGGTAATCGAAGTTTTACTCATGGCAGAGAGCATGTCGTCGAACGTTTGGTCAGTTGAAGCCTGACTAGTGGTGGTGGTTTTAGACCTTGGGGCGCTGGAGATGAAAGCGTCTACTTCAAAGCGAACGACTATATTCAAACCGCCAAAATCCTGCATCGAAAAAAAAAAGAAAAATTATAAATCTACGACGACAAGCGAGAGTACACAGAAAAGCTCACATATTGCACAATCCGATGATGCCCCTCCGTTCCTTCACACCCTTTCCCCTCCTTCGTCGTAGCTCTCTCAAAACTCAATCCATACGTGGTCACAGGAAGCCCTGGGAGCTCTTTCGTGTTCTGTTCCCATCGACTAAACAACACCGTTTTCTCTCCTGCCAGCTGCAAGTCAATTCGCCAGTCTTTATTGGGTTTCCACGGCTGAAAAGGCTGTGCCACGGCCGCGTTTTGGAGTCCTTTCGACAACGACTCTTTAGCTTTGATCCAACGAAACAATTTGCGGAGTCCATTTCGATCAGTGACGATGTCTACGGAAGACCAGTCGAAGACTGTGCCGTTTTCAGTGGCTTGGTAGAAATCCACGGCTGCTATGAGGGGGAGTAGAGGTGCGGTGGGTAACCGAAAGCCGTTTTGATCGATGAATCGTTCTGCTGTGTCGGGTGGGACGTTGTATGGCGTTGGTTTGTTTATCCATTCGGGTGGAGAACCTATGAGGTAAACGATGGTTGCGCGGTTTAGTTATTGAACTTGGTGCATGATTACGGAGTGAAGGTAGGGAAGGGAAGTGGGAGTGGTTATCTTTTGTGCCGTGACGTACCGGGAACGATAATAGAACGGTTTGATTCTTCCGCTTCGGTGGTGTTGTCCTTGAGCCAACTATACGATCCTATACATTTCATGTCCGTGATTTCTGCGCCAAGCGTTTTGGATGTGGTTGTGCCAGGGCCAGGGACTTGGATAGTAGCCACGACATCCTCCAAAAGTCCCTCGGTAAAGTCTCGGGAGGGAGTACTGGGGTTTGCGGAAGGAGTGGAGAACGGTTGTCGAGGGTTGTAGTAGCCAGTACCACGACCACGAAAACCGCGACCACGGTATGCGTATTGAGGTCTGTTTGAACTCTGGTTGTATCCAGTAGACATTTCTTGAACTTGTTTCAGTTCGATTCTTCGAAGGGCGGGCGGCGATACCTTCAGCCCTGGGAGAGAGGGAAGTTGCGGTAAGGAACGAAGAACAGGAAGTTGCCCATCTACATATACTTACCTTGAAGGTTCTGAAAGACCTCACAAATTCCACTTGAGCTTCCACAGGGTTTCCGCAGCGTACATGAGGCTTGATCGGGGGGTCACGTTTGGAGATCTACATCATACAAGTCTGACGCAGAAGAAGCGCTGGTCGAAGGAACTACTTTTTTTTTTTTTTGGCGTTCCACATGAGTAATTGCGACCCGACCCACAAAGACATAGAGCGTACTTTGATACTCGTCCGTGCATGGAGAAAACAGCACTAGTACGAGCTCGACAGGATGTGGTAGAGGGGAAATTGAGGAAACCTGATAAGCTTCCGCAGTAAACATGAGGCTTGATCCAGGATTAGCGCCTACAAGTGACAAGTTGCAGGTACAGATATAGCTATAGCTGTGGTAGGGAGAAAGTCGAACGCGCTTAATCAACTAAGCTGTGGCGCAAATCTGATTCGACCGTTGATGCGCGCAAGGATATAGGACTCACGATGGCATGGTAGAAAAGTAAGAAGTCGGCGGTATACAGACTTGACACTGCCAACTGGGATCATCATTCTGCAGAATCTGTCTCTCATCAAGTTATTTGCACCCAATTCTCCTTCAACTCTCAAAATTCGGGGCAGGATAATTCTGCACCCCTCCAGCACCCGGGCCAAACCCAGTAGCACTTGTGCTGCACCCCTTCAGCCATCTGAAAAAACCAGTAAACATTATACCCCTCTTACATCCTACACTGGTTACAGGTAGATATAACCTGGGAAAAAACCTTAGGGGGGGGGGGAGGGACAAAGGTCAAAACTGGTGACAACATTGCATCACTGGCCTTGAGGTTTGTAGTAAGTTCCTGATATTATAGCAGGTTATAACCCCAATTATGGGTAACACTGGGTTATTATTGAGGTATAACAGTGTAATCACCCTTTTACTACAGATATCAGGGGTTATAACACCTGTATTGCCAGGTTATATACCAGTTTTAAACTCATTTAACAGTTTTACAGGTGTGCATTGTCAAGATTCAGTAACAGTACATTATATACAAAGTTTTATTCATCCAAAACATGTAACTGACTGGATACAGCTTTTATAATAACATAGAACTGGTCATTACCTTTACTGGTTTTTCCTGATGGCACTCATGCTGCACCCCTTCAGCACTCATCTGCACCCCTTCAGCACCCATCAGCACTTACCTACTAGTCTTCCTCCTACTGCCACACCCATCAGCATGCACCTACATACCACTATTCCTTGTAGTAGTTAGCATGCAAAATACTTTTTTTTCAAACCCGTGTTGAACTTCCACATGTCACGAAGTGTGTACTATTTTCCTTTTACCTTCCTATGGTCTCTTTTCCTTTTACTCTGATACATGACACCATTCTGGTTTCATCTCTTGATCTTACCTTTTATCTTCATTCCACTGTGTTCTGTCGTTTTCTGCCATGTTCTATCAGTTTCCATATGATACAGGTCACAACATCATAGGTCACATGCCAAGTAGTAGGAGTAGTATATATAGGTTGACTTGTCACCTAGTCCCCCATCTTGACCTCTTTGTCTTGGGACTAGGTGTGTATTTGTACTCTGTAGAATACTGGGTTGTATTGATCATCTTTGTCTTGGGACTAGTTATTGACTGTCAAGCCTCAGCTCCAGTCTTCGTGTGTTCACTACCAGCACTTCACCACACCACACACACACACTAAAACACCATTAATCCAAGTCTGATTATAATATGGTCAATGTCTACCTCAATGAAACAAGAGAAATACAAACAACGATAGCAAATAAACAATGAGTTATGCTATGATTGATATGTATGCAACCACAATACAAGAACAGCAGTGAAGTCAATCTTAAGTAGTTGTAAACAATAGGTATGAAAGGGAGCCTTCCCCCAGAGATCTGACATCTGGTCTGGCAGCCTCCCTTGTGTATTGAAGAAGGGTGTTTCCAGCAGCCTTGCTCTCCTTGCTCTCCTCAACCAAATCTAAATCCTCCAGAGAAAACTCCAGGAATTCACCTGCCAGCTCCTCCCATCAGGAAAAAAGCCCATAAATTATAGCTAATTATGCTAGTTATAATCAATAATAATTATTACCATCAATTATAGTCACCTGTAATTATTATGGTCAGTTATAATCTATTATAATCTCTAATAATTCTTATATATGCTTATAAGTAACTATAAGTATTATCATGTATTATAATCAGCTATAATTATTATGGGTTCTTACACTCTATTATAATCAGGGTAATTTGGAGGGAAAAATTTCTTTGAAGTTCATTACAGAACAATGTTGGAGCAAGGGTACATATGAGCAGGAGCCCACAAAGTACTCCCAATACAACTCATGTAATAGGAAGCCCAATTGAACACTGAGGGTATAAGTGAAGCTAACTGTGCCCAAATAATAATGGCCTGATGGCTCAGTTGGTAAAGTACTTGCCTGAAGCAATTTTGTTGAGGTCTAGAGTTCAATCCTCTCTGGTTGCAAAACTTTAATCAATGAAATTAGATACTGTGATAATTAGATTGGAAAGTAAACTGGTTCAAACTACTGACTAGTAGACAGACAGATTTTTTTAAACTGATAAGGCTGTAAGTCACTATAGTCTTGATAACACTCATGCCAATTATAATCAAGGTAATTATTATGGCTGATTATTGTCTATTATATTTGTACCAGGTTAGTTATATTGGGCTATAAGCCTGGTAAGTATTATTATAGATTATAATGGATTATGGATATTATATTCTATTGTAATCTATGGGACTGTCTCCTGATGTCCTGTTCATCTGAGTGATGTACTGTTGCCACAATGAACCATCATCAGTTGTCATTCTTCTGACCATTGCAGAAGTAATGTACCCTTCAACACAATGTTCCTATGTATTTCTCATTGCCCCTTGTAACAACCATCAGCCCCTGTTCCAAGTTTGCCCTTGGATGCTCTTTAAGCTTGATGATCTTGTTGACATTGATGTTGACAACTTTTCCTCACTGCACCAATCCCAGAACTATCCTATCCTCCATTTGGGTCATTACAAATATGCCCTTGGAATTTTGTCTACCTGCAAGAATACTGACACGGATGGGAATGCCTAACAACCAAGGGTGAAGGATTCAGTAATTGGGAACAGGAGGGGTTTCTTTGATGGGGGTAGGATTTGGAGACAAAGGGGAGAACTGGATAGATTGCCATGAGAAGTTTACTGGATTCCAAGTCCAGCCTTGAGGGGTTAGATCTGCATACAGATTCCAAGGGTCATTAGGATCATCCCAATTGAAATCAGTGAGGTGCATGGGAGTTGGCCCAATAGGTATCTTTGAACCCTCAACATTAGCCTTCTTGTGAACAGAGGACTAAGTGTGCTTGGTTTTTGTATGGATCTGTGACATGTACATCATCTGATCCTCTGATAGCAGACAAAACGTCACTAACTCCAAGTCAGTCTTAGCTTCTTGAAGATATGCATAATCAATTTGCTCAATTCTTTGGTTGGGTTCAATAACTGCCAGCTCCACAGAAACCAGCACCCCAAATATGGGTGCCCCACTCAGAGGGCAATTCACATCTCGAATGACACTGTTCTTCCCTTATGACCACCCTTGGTGGCTTTAACCTCTGCCCCCAACCATGGCACCTTCCCTTCATGCATCTTCTGCAACAGGGGGTTGAGACAGTAATGTTCCTCTTGAACTGGGGTCAATGGACAAAAATTGGGTAGTTTTTTTCCAGATCTGATGTTGACAGTTAATCTGTGAATGTATATGAATTGAGAAAAAGAGTCACTTACTCTTGCTTGATGACAAAGTCCTGCTCAAGGTGTATGGAGCAATCCATTGACAGAACATACATGAAGACAATATGTTTATCCTTTTGACGCGTTACTCTCACATCCTTGATGATCACAGTCTTTCCAATATATGCCCTGGCATTGTTCCCTATGGCATTCACAATTACAACTTCTACATTATGCCAGGGAATGCCAATGACAGAGAACATCAATGGGAAAACCTTGACAGTGTTAACATGTGTATAAAAGATGTTCTAATATTGTATGAATGTCAGTGATATAAACTCTTTATGCATGAATCTTGTACTCAACTGCTTTGCTGAAGTACTTCTCAGCAATCACAATGAGTGGTAAGTAGGTGTAGAAGTTTGAATAATTTTATTATCATACATATAAAAGTCATCCCTTCTACTAAGTGACATAAGCTACCTATTGCACCCCAGGCCACAAACAATGAGCTTGCCAGCTGAGCACCGTTAATGCACTTGTTTGTAGTATGTATAGAAAGAAAGCTCTAATGAGAAATCAATTCACACAACTACTTGAAGTATAAGATTATGAGGGTGAGTTGGGCTTGTCAAAGGTTACGCTATTGTGGCTGTTTTAGAGATGTTACCTATTTCTCTACATTTTGGCAGTTTCCGAGTAATAATAACCTATTATTACTACGAGAACTAAGGGAATATGGAGTACTAGAGTGAGGCCTGAGCTGCTAGTAAAAGGACTCACCTTTGGAAACATGTTACATGTGTTCAGAAGAAAACACTGTAGTATGGGATTCCACAGGACTGAGGGTTAGCAACTTCCGAAACATGTAGGAAGCCTTCTGAGCCTACGCTATCGTTGGTGATGCACAAAAGATAGCTACGGAAGCGTGTAGAACCATACCAAGGGTAATAACGACGAGACAAAACTACTGCTAAAGAGAGTGGGAAGTTCTGAACGGACTTAATGCAAATAACAACGACTTCTGAACTTAGGGAGATGGCAAAGACCACTTCGGAATCATGAGGGAAGTGGCAGAGGCCACTTCCAGAGGTCACCCAATATGACTACTGCAGGTGCCTGGCTGGCAGACCTTAGGTCTGAGTTTTGGAGCTAGGATCCAACCTTCGGCACCAGTCTACTGGAGCTTAGAAATCAGTTGGGCAATAGATGCCACTGATTAGAACACGGAGAAGACTGATACTGTGGCTGGGACTTGTACTGGAATACTTTATGGTATGAGGAAAGGCTACTTAAGGAGTGTTAAACACAGAATGAAGGGTCTGAACTAGTATCAAAAAGAGGAGAGGAATCGATTACACCGACAGGGACAGGCTAACTCACCTGCCACCCTAACAGAAGCTGATCGACTTCGGAATTATGGGAGTATATCCCAACCGAGGGTGTGGATACCTACGAGCTGCCTGATCAGCCGTCAGGTCTCCCATCTACTGCTGAGCACTCAGTTTTGTCTTCTGAAGTAGGAAGAACGGTAGTGTAATATTAGAGACCAGATTCACAACTGTGGGGACAAATGAGGACCTTCAGACTTTAGTTGGAGGTTCGGAATTGAGGATGGAATGGAACCATCCGAGCGGGAGCATATAGGGTCTGGAGCAAAAGAACAACCTGCTTCAGAACTGTATAGAACCCAGGGGACCACCCCGGTGTAATGACAGTAACGCTAAGTAATATAAACCGAATTTGCCACATCCTGAACAGAGAACAAAGATAACATGGCTATATAAGAACTGGTGTGAGCCCCGAGCAGCCAGTTAAAGCAGTACACTGTTATATGAAGCGTCTAATATCAACAGACTACTGATAGGCTTCAAATGCTATCATAGTTCATGGGTATATAAGATGATTACTCTTCAGACTAAGAGCTATGGGATGGTCCAAAACATGTAGGACCTTCTATAGGCTGTCCAAGAGTTAGCGTGCCATTATAGAACAAGCTACAGACCTGGGTAGA